AAAAAAAAAAACTGCCAGTGAGCCTGTAGTCAAGTGATATATATATATAAATGAATATAAGTAATACTGGAATTACAAGTAATAGTCCACCAGATGGCTCTACTCCATTTTCCTTAGTTGTAGGAGTCGCCCGGCTGTTCTAGTTTTTGCACCAGGAAGCGAAGGAGAAAACCGGGAACAATTAAGGAGCTTGGGGACAGTTGAGGAGAGCTAACGTGAGAGAAAGATGTCGGATCGGTAGTCTGTTCGGTAGATCGGTATGTTCTGTACAGCCAAACTTTACTTCAATATATAGTTCATTGTTCACTTTATGAAGCTTTCATTCCGTGTTCCTTGTATTTTAATACTACAGGATTTTAAGTGGTACAAGGGCTCGCTTTTACAATAAAACTTTGATCACGTGTAATGCGAGACTACATTACACACAGTTGTTAAATTGAAAGGGACTTTGTGGACGATAGGAACACTCCGGCTGATAGTTATAAGCAACAATGGTTAAACGATCAAACATATTCGGGACTATTCTGTCATTTTCGCTGTAGAGGTTTTATTTTTGCAGCACGCATTTCGCGACTATACTACAGCACAGAGTATCCGCTAACACGTTTACTTTAATACACACATTAACAAACAGTTTAATTATACAGTCTAAAAAGGCACTGTCGGATTTTACCCTTTCTACCAGCAGCTGAAACATACGTTAACTTTAATTAACCTGAGCACAGTACTGTATTTCATAAATCTGAGATTGATAAATGTAAAGTTTCTTAGCAGAAACATTGCAATTTTAGTTTTAAGAAAGTAAACAAAAGACCATCAATAAGACGACAAAACGTCATGGAAATTGTGTGCGAAAGATTTAAGTTCGGCGTGTTAAAAAGTAGTAACGCAAGATGACGAGCCTTGAAAACAGCTGACCTGTGCTCAGCTCAGCCTGTCTTGCCCTGTGTTTTTTGGGTCTTTAACGACATCTAGTGACACACAGGCGAATAGTCAACATTATGGAGCACAAGGGGCTTTGAAAACATGAGGCAAGTGTACGCTTCGGTTGGTTATTTTAGGAAATGGTATTATAATATAAAATTGAGTTTTTCGACCAGACGATAATGTTTCATGAAATTGCACGGAAGAACATAAGCGAGGTTATAAACGAGAGGTCCTTCTGGACCGTTTAGCAGTTAGTAGCAGATCGCAGAAATCTCATCCAGCCGTTTCTTGAGAGAAACCGGGGTATCGGCTTCAACAACAAGTCTGGGTAGCTTGTTCCAGACCCCCACAACCCTTTGGGTATAGAAGTGCCTTCTGTTCTTCTACATGGTTCCCACGTGTGTCCTCTGGTTCATGTTTCACTGTTCCTTGTGAAGAAACGCGTCAGTGCCTTTGAGGATTTTGGATACACGTATGTTCAGTTCTATGTTCTAACCACCCCCAGGCATGTAAAGGGAAATTAAAAGGCTCTTATGAGGATCATTTCAGGTATGAAAACCAACTGAGAGCACTTGTTCATGAACTGTTTCTTTACAGTGTTTTTAAAGCAAACTGCATGTGCCGTTTCCCAGTGTGATTAAGGTTCGTGTCGGTATTATTCCATTCTAGAAACATTAAGCTTCTCATCAATAAAGTTCAGGTGCGTGGGTCACCTGGAAGCAAATTGAAGACCAGTACACCATCTGACGTAACATTGAATATTACAGCTGTTAATATGCTATATTAGTGCTGACTATGCTATATTATAGCTGCCTGTGCTATATTAGTTGTTGCCTGTGATACCTTATCACTGCTTATGCTATTTTACTGCTGCTTGCGCTGTATTATTACTGTCTATGCTATTTTAGAGCTGTACGCTCCTTTGAATGACCAGCACATCACTGCGTTTGTCTCTGCAAATCTCAGCTCATGCACCTATAAAACTGTCTAACAAGCATTAGACGTAATATGAAGAAATGTCAATAAAATATTTTAAAAGTCTGAATGAATTGGTTAATGGACCTTGCTATTAATCCAGCTGTTGTACACACGGAAGTGCAGTTTCTGTTTCTGCTGATCTAGAGCTGAAGAGATTTCCACAGCCCTTTCTTTTAGAATCTGCAGATCTTCCACAGCATTTCCAGTGGACTCGGCAGCAGGTGGAAGAGTGATGCCACTCTCTGATACTGCTGGAAGCTCACAGATGCCCGACACACCGTGTGGCACAGCGCTGAACACCACTCTGGGGGCTCCCTGGCAGACTCAGCCTGCCCGGCTCAAGTTTCACTAGTTTTCACCAGGCATCCCAGTCACGGTCAGCTGATGATGTAGCCCGAGCCTGTACTGTCTACACCTGGACAATACACGTTTTATTCTAATACTGAAGTGTGCAGCCCTCAGAAGCCACAGTGAATTCATTTGATTGAGTTGCCTGGCAAGGCAGCTGTCCAGTGATTTGTTAATAAATAAATACACCACAGACATGTTGCGTGGGACAGATAAGGCGGCAGTATTTACAATTCTCAAAGGGACTGGCACAGGAGAACATAAGAACAGGTACTAACAAGAGGAAGCCACTCGACCCATCCAGACTGTTAGATAGATACAGTGGGAACTGATGCGAGACTCTCATTCAGCTGTTTCTTGAAATAAACGTAGTGACACGTGACCTTCGTCCTCAAGAAAGAATTGACGGCAAACTGCGTGACACCCGGAAACATTAAGTGTTAACAAAAACCACTCCAGGTACTTTTCGTGGACGAGATGGAGCGCAGTTTGTGCGCCCCGTTGCTTTCTGGAGTGTACTTCCAGACGAGTAAGACACCAGACCCGCACCTGGTGTGAAGCGTGTTCAGCTCGCTCAAGGCAGGATCTGCGGTTTTGCTGGGTGATATCCCTCTCAGAAAACTGATCCCTCCACCCACACACAGCTCACTTTGCTGTACACAATACAGCAAGAGCGTGCTGGAATTCTCAAGCCGAAGCAGAGTAATACTGGTTTTGGACAGGGCAGAAGATCACATTCGCATGCTCCTGTGTTGTGTTGTGTGTGTGTAGTGCGATCGGGAAGGGGGTGAGGCTTTGCACAGTTTGTAGTGTATAATGGCACCCCAGAAGGCATGAGAACCGGCCAAGAACTTGTGTATCATTGCACCCCATTGTGCAACGGGCTACATTCGCGTTTCTCTTCCTGCGATTGTGTGGTTGCGTTTCTCTTGTGAAGAACTGCCCGAACTGGTGGGGGGGCTCCGAGAACCTCCCTTCCCATTGCCGAGGAACAAAAAACACATCACTTTTGAAGTAAAAACACCGGAGGAAACGAGGCTTTTAATGTGGTCTCAGCCAAGGCACCGCAGAGTAGCATCAGTAGGGTGGGAGTGGCGAGGGCACAAGCCCTAGAACCCCGATCCGTTACAATAACAAAAGGACAGACAATGAAATGTGGGCTATTTCGAAGTCGCAAATGTGAGATAAAAAGTCGCAATTGCGAGATATAAATTCGGAATTCTGAGTTACTAAGTGCAATTCTGAGATACCATAGCGCGTTTGTTTTTTCACTCCCTGGCGGAAACGGGCTTCCATAATTTATTGGCGTCTGAGGGATACTCGTTTATTTGGGCTCTTTGCAGTGTAATACTCTAGAAATTTTGCTGACTTGGACTTTTCCATTATTTGGTCTTTTTTTTCCCCCTTGGAAATAAAGGATCTGTAGAGGCAGCACATATTTGTCAGTGGATTTATCAGTCTAATTTATTCGATGTTAGTTAAGCGTCAAATTCAGCATTGTGGAACTGGTACGGCTTCAATGCTAAACACTGCACCGAGAAGTCAGTCACAGGGTTAGTCGCTGCTCTCATCCCTTCAGGAAAGTTGCCATGTCTGTTCGTCATTAGTATTCTCCCCACAACGACTCTGTCCTCCGCACAGTCATGTAACCCCGGTCCCACTCCTCTGCGCGCAGAGACACCGCTGATCTCTCAAGGCGCCACCCGTTTGTCCCCAGACGCCTTTGAAATGTCTTGGGCCTGATGAGAGACAAACAATTCATACTGTAAATATCTGGGACGGAGAGGAAAAATAGGAAACAAATGTTAAGTTTCAACTCACACGCAGGAGTGTAATGAGTTAAGACTTTGTTTATTTTAAAAGGGGGGAAAAACATGTACTGGAATTACATTAAGCACTTTTTGCGTAGATTTTAAAGTAAAAAAGGGGGCACTTTCACTGTTGCTCGAGTTCCTGTCGGGCCGAGCCCGGGGTGGTAAGTAGGGCTGTGACTGGATTTCTCCCGGGCCAGCGCACTCCAAATTCCTTCCCCGTTGTTAAGGGAGACGGGTTCTGGAGTCATGGAGAAGCAAGCGCTGCTGGTCGCCGCTTTCCTGCTGCACATTCTCGCTGTTGCAGGTGAGATTTTTTTTTTACTGTTTTAACCAAACCATACCTGTTTCCGCGTAAAGAAACGGCGTGTTTTCCGCGAGAGCGTTACAAGCGTTTTTAAAAACTCCCGTACAGAGGATACTGTTGGATTTTAAGGAGTCTAAAACATTTTTGAGGGGTTTATTTTAAAGCCTTTGTATTTAGGCTTCTTAATTAATCAGCTGATATTTTGGTATATGTTTACTGTTTGTGCCGAAGAAAGCTACGCTGAAGGTTATTCGAGTTTGCGGGCAGGTACAATGCTACACGCACAGCACATCGACATGGCAGGGTCGTACTTTGTAAAAGTCAGCAAAAAGAAGATGGAGGAGACCGTGAGCAGCAGAGAGCATTCCCCTCCCTGTCGTCATTTTAATTAGTTTTGATCAATCAAATCAGGATTCGGTAAACTACAAAACCTGCCGCACTTCCAAGCGCCTTGGGGAGCCGGATTCAGGGCAGGGCAGTCTGGTGTGGGTTGGCGCTGGCGCTGGACTGGAGACTGCGTGAAGCTGTCGTGCTCTCCTGTGGACGTGGGCTATTCGCGAGCGCTCCCCTGGCCACGGTAATTGGTGTTTATGAGTGTGCCTGGTGATGGGCTGCCGTTCTGACTTGCAGACAGTCCTGCCCTGTATTCTGTGCTCCAGGCTGCATCAGTCCTTAACCGGGAACAGGCTGCTATGGGATGATGGAGAGAACTCACATCGCATAACACTCCAGTTCCAATGAGGCCCCGTTACAGAACAGGTCAAGGTTTAGTCCTTTACTGAAAGGAAAAGAAAGGCGTTCCGCTGCCCGAGCCTTCTTCAGGTGTCAACACACACCTGCAGAAGGCTCCACAGCTGAAAGGGGGTGTTCCTTTTCCTTTCAGCACGGACTGAACCTCTACCTGTTCCACTGCAGCCTGCGCATGCTGAGGCAGGCCCCTGCCCGGAATTGACAGATCTCTTTGTGTAGCTCACGGTTGTGTAGCTGTTCCTTTAGGGGCTGGCGTGGTCTTTGAAATAGACGGTCCTGTAACGGGAGCCGGTCCTGACTCCCGTGTAGTGTAGTGCATCTTTAGGACCCTATGCAGACGGTAAAATTCGGAAGAGACCGGAGAAGGGTAACAGGGAAACATGACGGGATCAGGATGGGTTGACTGACGGGGGGGGCGTGACGGCTGTGCTCCGGTGCTCGGTGAGGCCTGGCGCGGGGCAAACAAGTCCAAAACAATCCGGAAGGGGAAACCAGGCAGCAGTCCAAAAGTCCACTGCCGGGTGATCCATCCAAACAGACATAGGAACGGGGAACGAGGACGAGGAATCAGGAACAGCAAAGTAAAATCACATCGGAGCCGGGTGCTCTGAGCCCCGGACCCAGACGGTCAGGAGGCCGGGGAATAAGACCCACCCTTGGGCTACGCACGAGCCCGGGGAACAGGCAAGCCTTGTAGCGTCCATCTTCCAACGCAGAGTCGAGAGCTACGGAAAACGCCACACTTAAATAACAACCAGCAAACAGGGGGCAGGCGCACGCAATATCGGAACTTAAATAGGAAAGGGTAGGAGCGCCCTCTAGAGGAGGGATGACGATCGTGACAGATCTGGCACTTCATTCTCATAGCCACCCAGAGCAATCTGCAGAGAGGCTCCCGCCAGAGGGTAACTCTTCCTCGTGTTCACTCTCGCTGGCAGAGGCTGTGGGGTTTAGCATCAGGAATGCGCAGCTGGGGAGGTGTGTGCAGATGTGGGCGGCCAAGGGCAGGGGCAGGGTGTCTCTGGAGGACTGCGCGCCCGGGTCAGAGCTCCAGCTGTGGCGCTGGCACCCGGACACCCAGATGCTGACCAGCCTACGGACTGGGGAGTGCCTGAGCGCCCCGCGGCTCCGGGAGCACGAGCCAGTGCGCCTGCAGCCCTGCCGGGCGGCAGACGGGGAGGGACAGGCCTGGGGCTGCTCCAGAAAGGGCCACCTGACCCTGCAGGGCAAGGCGCTGCACCTCAGCGCTCGGCTGGGCTCCGCCAAGGTCTTCCTCTCCAGAGACCGCGGCCCCAACAGCAAGTGGAGGACTCTGGGCAACCAGAGCATCTGCGCCGGGGCTACCCAGGCCCCCTCCCAGCGTCGCCATGACAGCACGGCGGCCATGACAACCACCGCTCAGCGCCTGGAAGCACCACCCGCCTACAGCACGCCCCTGTCTGGCAGCACAGTCTCCTCAGAGAGTAAGAGCCGTCACCCCGCTGCAGCTGGAGACGCATCATAGCAGCAAAGCCATGCCAGGCGTCGAAGCTCCTGTAGAACTCGCGCCTGTTTCTGTAGTGACACCACGCCTGTTTCTGTAGTGACACCACGCCTGTTTCTGTAGCGACACCACGCCTGTGTGCTTCTAGTGTCTCATCTGCTTTTTAGAGCGCATCACATCATCTGACTCCGCAGAGTCCTGATGGGCATAACATATCAGGACCTTATTAATAGTGCTGTTTGTCTCTTAGACGCCATAACTGTTGTTTTCAGGTCTGAAGTCAAGAACCTCAGAATCCCGTCTCTTCTTTTTAAAGTCCTAGATGAGTTCATTGTTCATTGTGACGCTACCTTGATTTGATGGCATCTTTAAATCGTGAACTCCATAGGAAAACTGTCATACCTCGGTTTAATTACGTTACCAAGGAGAACTGGAGACAGAGAGACGGGTCTTGAGTGACCTCACTGGTGCAGATGAAGTTCAGTAATTAATGAATGTCGTAGCTGGTGACAAAGTGGCAGGGCTACACATGCAGACTACTGTACAATTGCACACACTGGGAACAACGAACAAAGTGTAACATGAAGTGGAACTCTAAACTAGACCATTTTTGCACTTATTCAGTTTCTCTTTTACAAGAGTGTGTGACAGGACTGTCTCATATTGAATGGAAAGTCTTGTGTTTCCAGAGGTTGACTTGGGTGCCCCAGTGGGAGATGACTTTGCACTGTCAGCCCCCACTGCTGCAGCCTGGAAGAATGAGCTCACGCCTCTGCCTGACACCAGCGTTCCCCCGGCGGAGCCCTCTGTAGCCTTCATTAGTGTGGACTACGGTGAGTACTGGACAGCGACGCTCTGGCCCAGCATTAGGAGATCTTCATCGCATCATGCACTTGCTGATACTCTAGACTTGTACTCCTTGTGCTTATGGAGCTGGATGACTCTTTATTTTTTAATGAAGTTGATGGATGCAATAGTGTCAACTGGGCTCCCTCACCACTGGTCTGGAGCTGATCTTAGTTGTTCTTGAACGCTCTTTCCGGAGTCTGTCCTTTCCAGGCCTGTCCATGTGATGGCAGTCTAGCACAAGGATGGGGGAGGCTGAGCTGAAACCCAGGAGGATTGTAATGCCATTGTCCATAAAAAGCATCAGCAAATCTAAACAGAAGAATAGATCCTGCAGATGTGGAAACAGACAGATGTTCTGTATATACATTGTTTAATATATTTTTTAAAAGCTTGTCAGCATGAGGTCCTTTAAAAGGAAAGACTTGAATTGCCGTCAAAAAGAAGCAGAAATTACTGCAACCTAAAGCTCCTTTTAAAGTTTGCTTTTGTGCTCAAGCTGACAAGTTTTAACAGCATTCTGGATGAGCATGTTGTTAATCCAAATTCTTGTTAAACCATTGCATTATTTTATTTAGTTAAGTGGGAGAAACTCCTGCCTTTGTCCTTTCTGATACATCCTGTAGAATGAATACTAAACTGATCGTTATTGAACCTGAAAACTAGCACTTTCCGAGTACAATCCTGTTTGGTGGGTGGCGCTGTGGTGCTGTGGTTAGCATTGCTGTCGCACAGAGCTGGCCCTGGGTTGGGGTGCTATTTTCATTGGTTTTACTGTATGTCCTCCCCATGTTTACTGTTTACTCTACTGGTAGATCTATCGGCATCTATAAAGTTGGCCCTGCTATGAGTGTGGGCATGTCTGTGATTGTGTATAGCCCTGTAATGGACCGGCAACCAAACCAGCGTGTATCCTGCCTTCCATCCTCTGCCTGCTAGGATAGGCTCTGTTTATGACAGTAACATGAAAATGGCAAAGAGGGGCAGCTCCAATGATAAAGAACAAGAGGCTGATGGAGCCCTCGCCATCCCCACCAGGATGTTATCCCCTGTGTCAGCTCCCACCCCTAGAGTCTTCAGGACGTCTGTGCACGGGGTGTGCAGTGTGTTCTGGTGCTGAGAGCTGACCTGGGGCCGACCGTCCTCTTCCACCGACCCTGTGTGCTGTTTTCAGGGGTGAGCTGGAAGATCGCCATGCTGGTCCTGTGCTCCCTGGCTCTGCTTCTGGGCTTGACCATCCTCATCCTCAATGTCCACTACAACAGGTGAGGTTCCAGTCAGAGTCTCAGTCTTTAGTGCCTCGTGCACGGCCTGTCTTTTATCTTCTATTACAGGTAAGAGATGTTGTCAGTTTGACTGGGAGCTCTGTTTCCTGTAATACACGTGAATAAGGGGACTGATGTGGGCAATTTAAAATTGCTTTATAACAAAGCCACAGCCAGATCGCTCCTTGCTCCCTGACGTGCTGCACATGTGTCACAGACAGCGGCCGCGGTCCATGTGTTTTTCATGCTGCTGTGTGCCCCTCAGGAAGAAGAAGATCGTGTGTGTGTTGAAGTCCTACAGCCGGGGGGACACGAGCGGCCAGGCGGGCCGTGGGGTGCCGGACGAAAGGGCGCCCCTCACCCAGCGCCCACCCCAGCCCTCCCGCTCCCCCTCCCTGCGGCGCGGGGAGATCCTCATCGAGTGGAAGGACGGGACGGTCACCCCTCTCTTCGACAACGGCAGCTACCTGATAGACTGACGGGGGCGCGTCGGCGCGGGAGTGCCCGTGTCAGGGCGCCCGCGTGTGCATGCACACGCGTGTGTGCGCTCATGTGAACATTGCCGGATCTGCATGTATGGATTGTGCCTGGAGGGCGACGAGGATTCTGAATTATTCATCAACGGTTCATTATATAGAAATCAATCTTTTATAATTTAGTGTGTTCCAGGATAACCTCTCCCCCTTTTTTTTCCTCCCATATTTCAAAATTCAGAATCTTAGTGTTTGTATTTCCGCTATGAGGAAATGCAGTTTGAGGAGCGTCTCCAATATTTTGCTCAGACTCTTACTAGCCAACCGTTAGCTTATTCGAACCAAGGGGACAATATTTCCGTCCCTTGAACTCTGACCGTGACTTCGGGAACCCATCTCGGGCCAAGGAGGGGGTTGTGGGCCAGCAGTGGGCTCAGTCAGGGCAGAGCGATGGGCGCTCAGTCGCTCAGATTTAAATCAGTCGGTCATGTACCCCAGTGTGCGTGGGTGTGAGAAAGCTGTGTCACATTGCGTTTGTGTGTTGTAGATCCAGCATGTTCTTGGTCTGTTGCTGAGGGTAAATGGGGAAAAGAGAGCTGGACAGGAGTACCTTTTAACAGAGCTGCGAGGTGTACAGGTTTTACCCAGTACAGAAGGAAACTCTTTATTAATAAAACATCCCCTTTTAGAAATTGTTGTCAAGATCGCACATCATTTGTGAACAACTAATTTTTAATTCCTAAATTTAAAAAAAGGAAAAAATTAAAACAACTTGGAAAAACAAGTTGGTATTTTCCAAAAAAATGTTTAATAATTTGAAAAATATTAATTACATTCTTACATCCTTCTTTTGTGTATTAAACGGAATGCCACCGAATGTCTGACCTTATGAACTTGAAAGTGGTTCAAAATGTAATGTTTTTTTTCAGTTTTAAAATGATTTGAACACTACTATTTTAATTCTAGAAAATACTAAACATCTGCACAAAATGACCATAGCTGGTGCCCTTACTGGCATTTTTATACATTCTAGCATAACATCATAGTGTATTTAGAGGGTTGATTTATAGAACCTTTGCCTTCACAGATGTTTTGTAAGGCATTGTAATTCTTTTGGGCCGATTGTGCTATTCTATGTACAGTAGCTGCAAGAAAGCCCTTGTTGTTTATGAGGGTTCACTATTTGCTGTATTTGTCTAACTGGTGATTCTCAGTTTCTGTTGTAAAGGCTGTGAGGGTGTATCAGATTGTTAAATGACATAGCCAACAATTAACGCAAGGATATGTACACTTGAAAACTGTGACCTAATGTTTCAATAAAGGACAGGCTTGACTCTGGACTGCTCTGTGTCAGTGATTTATGCGACGGTGAGGAAGAGAGAGCTGCTGAGAATCAGAGCCTGCAGGTTCAGTAGGGGGAATTTTGGATAGTGCAGGAGTTGGAGAGATGGATTTCCTGTTTGTTTTTATATACAACTACTCATGCTATAATAACGCCACAGCTAATACAGTTAACATTACTAGGACTAATCTTTCACACTTACTACTGTTTGCTTACAATTATGATGATTCAGTTTCAATAAGACCACTTGTGCTGCAATCTTCGAATCTGTCTTGATCTGTCTGGCTGGCTCACAGTGTGGGGTGCCCCAGTGCACTGGAGGTGTCTCAGGGCATGCCTGTTGAGAGTATCTGTCTAGGCATTGACAGTTTTCCCACAGAGGTGGGACTCAGGCCCTGAGATCTCCAGGCACTAGTTTTAAGAGCAGGGGTGGAACCCCAGAGTGATTGCCAAATCCCACTGAGAGCTCACAAAATCTCTCCTGCATGAGTTCCTCCCTCACCTTTTCACAGGGATGGTTCCCCACCCATTCCCTCTCAAACTGTTCTCAAGGCACAGCTCTGGGATGTTCCCTTCTTCTAAGAATGTTTGCCACACTGATGTTGCACAATAATTTAGCACTTTTTCCCACTGCTTCTACAATAATTAAATGTACTTTCTTTTTGCTGACCCTTTGCCACCCTTCCCCGCCCGCTGGCGAACCCAGTGTTGCTCTCTGATGCCCGGTGCCTGTTGCATCAGCGGTACCTTGGCATTAGACAGTGTGACAACTGGCTTTATGTACCAATGCAGAACGACCTCTCTGTTCCTGTGCTCGTGTACAATTACTGGTTCAACTATTTTCTTCCGGCAAGATCAGAAAGCAGCATACAGTAAATCAGACCTGTTTTTCATACAAGCTTTTCTGTCTCTGGCGTGGAATTGTCGAGCTTCTGAGTAGGGGGTGAACGTGGGTACATGGTTTTGCTGCTAGGACAGAGGTATGGGGGCATGCAGAAGAGATTAAACGGACCAGTCTAAAAATATTCTTCTACAAGCCCTGTTGACGTTCTCTTTGTTAAACCTCTGCGAATATTGGGCCAAATCCTTAGTATAACAACAGCATCTGCTGTCAATGTCTCCATTGTTGTAGAAAGCCGTGGATTCATGAGGTAATGTAGCTTGTTTTTAATTAATATCCATTATTCTGTTTAATTTTCTGGAAAGGGTGGGGTCAGCTCAGGCGTCAGAGTGCTGGCAGTGCAGAGGCTTTCCGAGAATGTCTAATGATCAGCTCAGATGCCGGTCGGTAACTCTTCATTTCTGGCACTTTCTGACCCTTCTGTTGCCTCGAAGGTTCAGGCGGCGGATGGTGGTGGAATTGAGGATCTTGTCCTGACGTGCTCCTGCTGGCTGTTCTTCAGGCTGCGAGGCTGTAGAGGCTGGATGTTGGGACCTGTCACTAGAAGAATGGAGGTTGAAATCCTGGGTGGGGTGCCACCGTTGTGCCCTTGAGCGAGGTACTGCACTCAGAGCGTACAAACGCTTGGCTGTGAGGATGGGTACGTGCTGGATGTGAGTTGCTTTGAATAAAAGCGTCAGCCAAATCTTAATAATTACACTGAGGTTATTCAACGAGGTGCTTTCTCTGTGAAAGAAAACACACAGGGAGTGGTTTGACCTCCTGTTCTGTTGTTTCCTACTTCTCAATATTCTTCTGAAGTTTGAGATAAAGGATTTTGCTTCTCGCAACTGACGTACAAATTTCTATTACTTTTTTTGTAAAATCGGTATTGGAAATCCAATACCTTTCTATTTTCTGAGTTCTTATTCCTTCATCCCTTTCCTGTGTACTCAAGAGAATCGTAGCCCTACGTTTCAGCTCTATGTTGACGAGATGATCCAATGATTTTTTCAGAATCAGACCCAGAATCAGGATCACCCTCATTTGCCAAGTACATTTCATGTACAAGGAATTTACTCAGGTGTACTTGGTGTTGCAAAAACATTCTACATACAGTATACCACATAAACAAGACAATAGACTTCATTAAGTCAGAGCATATATAACTAGGAATTCCGGTTAAACAAAAAAAACAGCCCTAGGATAGAAACCGCTCAAGTACTATAATTCTGGTTTTAATGGTCCGTTACCGTCTTCCTGAGGGACATTTATGAAAGACATGGTAATGTGGGTGGGAGGAGGCTTCAATCTTTCATGCCTGCTTTTTTGCTCAGGAATTGAACAAATGGTCAATGGAGGGCAGATGACAGCCAGTGATCACAGAGCGAGTAACACACTGCAGTTTGCCTTCGAAGCAGGAAGACACATTGCAAAACTAGTTCTAGAGAGTCAGAATGCTCTCAATAATGGGTCCACAGAACTGTAACAGAATTGGTCGAGAGACACCAAAATTTGTCGGTTGTCACAGAAAGTACATTCTCTGCTCTGCTTTCTTCGTGACACTGGTGAAATTCATGTCCAATTTAATTGTATCAGAGATCATAATTCCCAAAAACCTAAAGGACTCCACCATACTCACAGCCACAGCACTGATTTCCAGGGAGAGAGGTTCTGGAGAACTTAAGTTCTTAACACACCATGATACCAACCAACCTCCCTCCTGTACAGGGTCTCATCATCATTAGTGACCTACATGGGTGATGTCATCTGCAAATGTAATTCGTCTGATGGTGGAGTCGCTGGAGGTGCAGTCATTGGTGTACAAGGAATAGGGTAACGGGCAAAGCACACATCCTACCAGTCTGACAGATAAAGGTCACAGTAAATCCACTGGCAGATGGAAATTCAACAGTAACAATTTATTGTAAAGGAGTTCTTGAATGACACTATTAAACACAGGATTGCACTGAAATCATTTTTACATAGTGCCTGAAGACTGTAGATGTTGCAAAATGCAGTGAACAGCACCATCCAATGACCTGTTGACCCTACAGAACAAACCTAAAATCATCGGTTCCCACTGCTGGTCTTGGTGATCCACACATTTGCTGGTGTTCATTCCATCCCACCCCTGTTAGATAATTAAGCCTTACTTGATGTAAGAAGTCGCATTGTTCCAGGGGTGTCCAAACCTTTTTTTATTGGGGGCCAGATGGAGAAACAAAATATGGAGCAGCAGGCCACAGACTGCTGTACCTCTAATAATAAAATAAATATTAGAGATATAATACCAGATATGAGTGCATTCCAATAACCAAATTGCCTTTTAATTTAGGGGACTACCCTAATAGGTGTTTCGTTTCATAATGTCTCTTTACATTAAATTTCTTCATCACAGCAACTGATTCTTGGCAAATTACACACACTTGGTGAAAAAGTATTAATTTTGCCAGCATGGCTGGAATCTCCTGCATTCGCTGTCAATTTTTCATTTCTTTGGTTCCGCCATTTTGAAAAGCTTGCTAACGTTAAATTGCAGAATTAAAGTTCTGAAGAGGGTAAAGAGGAGGGAAGGGGGCAGCTAATCAGTTTTGAGATGTGATGTTACGTGATGGCGGCACCGAGTGTTCAAAATAGGAACTGCATTTTTAACTTAATATCGGGCCAAACCTAATTATAGTTCTAAATTAACTCGCAGGCCGTTTCAGTAACAGTGGCGGGCGCCAATGGCCTGTGGGCCGTAGTTTGGACACCTCTGTTTTATTCGATTTTCTTAGTATTAGAATATGAATACAAACATTTTGTTTGTAGTCACAGGTTTGGGATTTCATAATCATTTAGAAAATACAGCTCTTAAAGATCCAAGTAATAGGTTTATTCCCTGCTGAAAAGAGAAGAAAGAAAACACAACGTTTCGGCCGTGGAGCCTTCTTCAGGCGTGAGAGAGACAGGGCAGTTAGCAAAGGTAGTGTAGCGATTGCGCGTCACTAGCCGACTGTGACCGGGATCGCTGGGCGACGCCCACTGTGGGGCAGGCTCTCGCGACACAGCGGCTCCCGCGGTACCGCCTGTGACGGACACGCCTCCCCTGCAACTGGCACCGAGACCTCCGGCGGGGGGCGGGGCTGCGTGTGACGTGTTGAAAAGCGAGTGGCTGAAATGAGAGCGGATCAGGAACTCGCTCCTGCGCGACGGGTAGCTGCGAGGCAAAACGTGAGAACTATACAGCTAGCTGTTTCACATCAGGTAGTAATATTGTAACGCATACGGCCACCATTGCAGGTTGTGCTTTACCAGCGTCACCGCCCTTCCATGTGAATAGCAGGGACCGCAGCCGCTGGGCTGACAGGAGATCTCCCTTTCGCTCGACTGGCTGGGTCCCTGTTGAGTGACCCTGGAGGTCCGGGTTCGAGTCCCCGATGGTTGGGGGGGCGGCAGAGGCGAGGGCATGTTCCCGCTTGAACCCCGGAGCGCTACAATATGTAATTATGGCCGATTGTGTTTGTGCAGCATTGGTCAACCTGGAAGCAAGGACAATGTCATTAACGAATATTTTTATATATATATAGCTTTTCAAATCTAGATTTTCTTAATTAGAGTAAGCTATTTCCCGATGGTTTGTAGTTTGTAGTCTTCCTTTTGGAATATGTCTTTAGCGTCGTTTTGAATTTAGTGGGCCGGGGAGTGGAATATTTTCCCTTCACCGAATGTATTCATTTTTGTGTCATTTTCACATGGTTCCACTAGATGGCAACACATTACACGTTAGCGCTGAGCGTTGATACAGAGTTTAACAGGCCTTCCTCCAAAACGCGCTGGTTAACGAGTAGATATCACATTCACAAACGGAAAAAAGAGACAAATCTCAGTTTTTGATGTTCCGATTTGTAATTCCCTCTGGCAGTGTGGTGTTATGTGATTTTTGGGGGGTTCACTTAACTTTTTGGATACCTTTTCGCCTTCGGTTCTGTAATTTGTTGTTCGATAACATTTTGGAAAAAAAAGAAAATTTACTGATTAAGGTCAAGTCATCTGCATGCACTTTAATCCCCAGCATGTCGGGGAATATCCCAGGCTGTTTTTTTTCAGATTTCTCTTAATTACACATTATTTCTGAAACCTGTCTCCTTATTAGAATTATTATCAATATGGTCGATTTGATTTGAATAATCGTCAATGTGGGGACAAATCTACATACAGTAGAGTAATAGAGTAGTCCCACGAAACCACAATGTGTTCCCCAGCTCTGCCCATTAACATGTATAATAATAAGATACAGCGTATTTACAAGCTTTCCTGAAGAGAACATGTCCTCATAAACACGCGACAAACCCTGACCTGCAGTCACATTGGCTGAAGTCAGAATAGCTTTGCCCTGTGGCAGGGAAAGAGCTGAAGGGCTTAGCAATGTGTGCAATGAAAGCAGATAAAAAGATTTTCTAAAAGGATTTTGGAAAGCGTTTCCACTACGCCATAGTGCAACACATCCAGACTTCTTTGCTTTAAATCAAAAACTAAAAATTGATTATAACTGTCAATATTGAAATAAAAAGATATGTAAAGGCGATGACAACATTTAGTTAGAGCACATTGTGTGCTATGACTTCACAGGGTACAATGCAGATCTTTTTTTACACCAGAGAGCAAAAGTTTGATCGTTCACAAAGATGAGGATATTCATCTTTATCAAGCCTTAAAACTAAATCCAGGAAGTGATCAAGGTCCATAGAGCTTTTCCTGAGATAACCAGGATGCCCTGGAATTCCAGCACCCAGACCAGGCCGCTGTCAATGGGGGCAATACTGACTGTCTGCCTGTCTCTTCTACACCAACTGTTGTAGTGGCTTAATTACCACATTTTATTAGTGTGCTAATAATGCTCTTACCTTGTATTCATTAAATCTCTGTCTGTAAACTGCTGATAGCTCTGATGGATGGATTACTAGCAGCTGTATAACTCACTCTGTATTTACTTCTATTGTACTGATACAATTTCTAATTGTTGAAGTGAATTTAGGCCATCAAATGACTGCAGTTAACATACACTCAGACACATCTAGTCTCAGGGTGTTTGGCCAGATAAGGCATCCCTGGAATTACCCTCTGGGCCTCCGTCAATTTCAATTCAGTTCAATTCAAGATGCTTTATTGGCATGACCGATGAGTACGATCAGTGTTGCCAAAGCAAATTAAAAAAAAAGATTAACATGAATCAAAACAATAAAATAAAACCTACAGACATATTACAGACATTTACAACAAAGACAAATCATAAAACATTTACATACAAAGCTATGGAGCATTATTGTTCACTGTCACTCTGTGTCACTCTGGATGTGCCCTGTGGCAAATGATCTGTCCTCTTCTGATCCTGTTCCAAACGCACACCCCTGCTGTCTATTCAGTCTCGGCAGCAGTCTCGGCAGCACAGCTATGCAAGACAAAAAGCACTGTTACAATGTCAGCTGCAACAGATGCCAATTCTGCCTTAGCAGTCTAATGAAAAACGTTAACAATGGGGAAGGTTTTACCATATACTCATGTCAGCTCATCTGTCATCGAGTGCTGCAGACAATTGCATCCAATAAACAAACTAGAAGAAGCCATCCTTAGAAAGGATGTGAGATAATACTCCAGTTTCCCGAGTGAGGTCTGTGTAAATAAACAAAAGCACAAGAGTACAATTTAATTAAAGGCCTAAACACAACTCAGCCGCCTAATGGGTCTCTTCCAAGAGGAAGTACCTGCAGCTCACTTTCGGCTGGGAGAGGGGGCTGGTCTTTGGTTTGAATACCCTCTCTGCACAGAGGAGAAGTGGTGATTCGTTTGAATTTAGTTGCATTCTCAGCTGGCAAAAGAGCTGAGCATCAGAGGTTTTATCAGTTCTATAAAAGCCTGGTACACCTTAGCCAGATTTAGGGTTTGCTGTCCTCTCCCTTTGAAAGTGTTGCACATCTCTTACAGAAAATGACAGCTGCAAAAGATGTACAAACACAGCAGCTGCCACCACTGCTGAAATAGAAAGGTCTACCAGATTGTGGCAGAATGGCTTCTTATAAAGGGAAGCCCTTCTCCTCCCACTGATGTACCGCATTACAATCCCCACACGTGCTCTTGGAACATTTGGCATCAGCAGTCGCATGCTGTGCTCCTGCCTGTACACCACAGGCTTAAACAAGTCAGCTTGCAGAGCCCGAGACCAGTGCTTGGCCCTGTGCATTCTTCCCCCAGTCGTCCTGCATCCTGGAGAGTCCAACATGGTTTGTGACAGGAGCAAACCAAGCCAGCAAGTAAGATAGAGAAGCTTTGACAGTTTTTTTGACTGGCCATAAATGCTTTTCAGCTAATGGGTTATTCTTCCCATGGTACAGGCAGTCTCACCTAAGACGGAGCATAAATCAATACTTCTTATTGCCTGTCGGATCCCCGTCGTTATACACTGTGCACGGGGAGTCTGGGTCCTCTAGTAATCTCTTGTGCATCTTTCAGGCATTGTTAGAGAAACTCTGTCATCCCTCCCCAGGCCCCGGCTGCTGCCAGTTTCCCAGGATCTGTCCAGGGAGAGCTGAGGGTAATAGAGTATGTCACCTCCTTAGACGATAGGTGCCCTTTCACCAGGGCCATGAACTTGGTCATGTTCCCAGGATCACCTCTCCCAGTCTAATTACAAAGGTCAGTGGAAAGGCTCCTTGGATAAACATCTGGAAATAACATTTTACTGTCTTAGTGGGTGGGGTTTACTCAGGCTGTAGTCATTCTCAAACAACATGTTTTACATCAGAATCTGGGACCGTGCTGTTACCTCGGGCTTATAGTTGTACAATTTTATGTTTGTGTGATTGACATCAACCTTTAGAAATCTGTGGTCTTGAGATGGGCTTTGCTCATGTTAATTGGTGCTACTTTTACAGCCCGCAGGTCCAGATCCTCAGGCTTACTTAACCTTCCTGCCATTCTCCCAGGAAGCCAGGTATTCTTCCACATCTACATCCACATTTTGCCCTGTTCACCGTCATTTCTTTTTGATTTATCAGCTGGTCTTGTGCTCATTCTGTTTGAACACTGCTGGACTCTTTTTAAGCAGCTAGTTGTTCCTGGACGATGGCTATCTGGTGTCAGTATCTTCCTGTACCTTACTAGCATCTTGGTAGTGACTTGTCTCTAGCTGGGCAGCTGCCTCCTGCACAAACACTTTAACAATGTTGAGACACTATCCCAGTCCAACCACCAAAA